TTTTTCTAAACTTTGAGCAAAGACATCTCGACAACCGCCTATTTAAAATCGACGAAAATTTTTTTATTTTAATTATACTGATATATAGAATCAGAATAAAAAGATTTTAATTGATTTTAGATAGGTAGTTGTCAAGATATTATCTTCGCTAAAATTTGGAAAAAAAAAACTTTACCGCAACTTTTGTTTTAAGCTTTTTCTAAACTTTGAGCGAAGATATCTTGACAAACACTATCTAAAATTGATGAAATTTTTTTATTTTAATTATACAGACATCAAGAATCAGAATAAAAAAAATTTATCAATTTTAGATAAGTGGTTGTCATTATATCTTCGCTCAGAGTTTGGAAAAACCTTTGCCACAGCTTTTGATAGTTATTCAAGTTTTTATAAACTTTGAGCGAAGATATCTCAACAATCACCTATCTAAAATCGATGAAAATTTATTTTATTTTAATTATACAGGCATGTATAATTAGAATAAATTTTTTCATTGATTTAGATAGATAGTTGTCGAGATATTTTCATTCAAAATTTTGAAAAATCTTTGACACAACTCTTGATAGTTACCCAAGCTTTTTTTAAACTTTAAACGATGGTATCTCAACACTAGCTATCTAAAATCGATAAAAATTTTTTTATTCTGATTTCTATTTTTACTATTATCTAATCTTTTTCCTATTTCACAACTCCCTGCTTTAACACGATGCTTTTTACTTGTTATATATATATAATTATATAAAAAGTTTTAATTATTTTTTATTCTTACTTTTTTTATTAATTTTACTATCTTTCACTAGGTTGCTATCGTTTTTTAGTTTCGCCACCTTTTAACAGTTTCGCCAGTTTCACCACCTTTCGCCATTTCGCATTTTAATTTTTTTTTGGCGAAAGTCGAAACTAGGTTTCGCCATTCGTCTGTGGCGAAACCTCTAAGTTTCGCCTGCCAACACTACATACAGCTATTTATTAAATAAATTATTTTTTGTAGTAAACACTTTAAAGAATCTTCATTCGTGTAATTGATAATTGGTATCATCTGTAAGTCTGATTTTAATATATGTGCAGCCTACAGGGTTCTGTAGAGTATTTGTATTGACCTACGTACATCTTATTTATCTTCGAAACATCTCGGAGTTTACCAAAAATTTTCTTTATCTTGCTTATATTTTTTCTTTTGGGTAACTATTTCTGACGATTTAACAACTAGAAACTTTCAACAATTTCTAAAATTTTTTTTTCATTTTAAAATTTTGGTTGATGAATGTCGAAACTAGATCTATATTCGATTTCGTCCAATAACAGTTTCATATTTATCTCATATTTGATTTAATGAATGTGAATTTAAAGAGTCATGAATTCGCCTACGAATTAAAAATAAAAAATTATATCCTTTTTTTTTTGTTATGACGAGTAATTACATTTCATCAACCCGATGAGAAAATAAAAAATAATACTGTATTTGGAAGACAAAGGCATAAAGACAAGGCGTTTTATATTAAGTATGTAACATTAACCTTTTTCCTGTTTATAATTTTTTTTTTACATACGTAGACTTAGAACCTTAGTGTTTCAATAGATTTTCACTATTAGATTAAAGCAATTTTTCGTTATTATATTAATTAGAAGAAATAGCTTCATTGATACAAAATTTTTCAAGAAATTTTTGCTGTTATTGCGCAGAAGGCAGTTAGATAAAATTTTGAGTCTCTTTTGCGTTACGCTAGATTTTAACTAGAAAAATTTTTATGTTGATGATGCCTTTACACGTAATTCAGATCAGCTTACATAATACAGCTCAAAATTAAATACCAGTTAGGTACGTAGGTTATGCAAGCTGCTTAGTTTACGTACGTACGTACGTAGGAAAATTAAAGATTTTCTTATGCTCATCAATCGATCGTGCAGCATACATTTGTATGTCAGAATGATTTATTCTCGCACCAAATCATCGCAGCGGATTCTGTTCACACCCTAAATTAAATATAACTCCAAAATTTAGATTATAAATACTCCGACATATATTTTTTATGATAATTAATCTTATACCAATACGTAATTTATTATAAGTACGTGCCCTAAAATTTTGGGGTGTGAACAGAATCCGCCGTGATGTTTAGAATAAAAAAAGTGCAGATCATTTCTGAATAATACGTATAGGAATTTAATTACACCCTTACCAACCTAAAAAATTTCGCTATCTGGTCGAATTAAATTTCAAGATCAAGTCAAAACAATAATGCACCCAAATCCTAACGCTAGTGCTGATAGCGAAATTTTTCTAAGTTGGTAACGCTAGGATCTCAGTGTGATGCGTGTGTGTACCGGTGTTAACTTAGTTGGTAGACATCATGAAAGAATATTTAGAAAGGCAATTTAGTTACAAGGATGATTTTATAAGAATTCTCTTAATTAGGAGAAGAGTTCAATGGGCATACGACTTCTATTCTAACATCAAGTGGGAACTAACACTTATATAGATGTGTAAGTATCATTGAAGAGATATCGTTCAATGACAAGTCAATCGTCAAATTAGGTAATCATAATAATTACTAAATATAGAAATTAATACATAGCGTAAATTACCAATTTAGGAACCTATACTAATGTTACGAATTGATCAATAACACCGGTAAACTAAAATACCAGATGAATCTCTAAAGAGAAAGCTGCATGTCTGTGGTCGTTATAGTTGCAAGGTATCTGCTATATTATTATCTATGATTTTAAACAAAATAGCTCTTTACTAAAATTAACCATTTCTATTATTGCTTATATTATTACATTTAATAAATTTTATTTATTCTTATCTGAAAATTATCGAATTAAAATCTTATCTTTAAATATTAGAATGTCCTCTGATACAAAACTGCTCTGGATCCCGTTATTTGACACTCTCATAATTGTCATAAAAAATAACAATACCAGAATTGTGTTAATGAGATTTTGTGTGTTACATCTATTTTTAGATCATATTATCATCAATTTATTTATTTTCTCTATTTTTAGCTAATAGTCATTTAACAGTCCTAGTTAGCATTAATGTTACGTATTTATCGTAACACAGTCCCAATTTAGTAACTTATAGTGCGAATTTATTTCTCTAAATGTCCCGTTAAGATTAGTAATATTAGGTGAAAGCAGACATAGGTAAAATTTTTCTTTTTGCAAATTTTATACATGTACTGTACAGTGTATGGAGTTTAAATCTCTATATCTTTATAAAAATAACACATAAATAAGTAAAACTAAGCTTTTTTCACTAGAAATAGGATAACTTTATCAATCTTTATTGACAGCCCTTCACGATACACTATAAAAAAAGTGAATGAAAATCCAATTGTTTCTTCGAATAAATAATCTCTATTAATGATAAATTTAGCTTATTGAAATATCTGGATTTTACACAATATATAGTGAGTGGTATACGGTTTCTTGTATGTTCATTGTGCAATCATGAAAGTAAATAATGAAAATAAGTTAATTCGTAAGTGTAACTTATTTCAATGATGAATTGTTTATTTTTGTTGCCATGACTTTTAACATGTTTCGTAAGACAAATTTCATTGATGAAATACATTTATATATTGTTCACATTTTTTTTTGTCTCGTAAAATTAATTCAAAATGAACTTTTTCCATTGGGGTGAATTTGATCCAAATTTAACAGTTAATTCTTGGTTCGTAAGTCCTAAAACATTAAAAATTTTTCGCCTTGTGGTGGCTATTTATTCTTGGATTATTGTAATTGGAGATCTGTTAGATTATGGATTACGTCCTCAAGAGCTTACTAAAGTTGATTTCGGTAATGACGCGGAATGTTTTTTATGTTATTTTACTAATTTGAGTTATATTGGTCAAACAATCTATTTTACGGTAAGCAAGTTTTCCTTTTCTTTTTAATCTCCTTATTATTTACAATATAAGTTAATTAATTGTTTATAAATTTAACTTATAGACCGCACTATTCTATTCATTCCGGTCAAACTCCCTTGAAAATTTTTCAAAATTACACAACTTTTTATTTTGGATTCTTTATCACACTTTTGTACATTATCAGTAAGTCACCTTAGACTTTACTTAATTTGGTAATATTCAAAATTTTATATTTATAACTAATTCATATTTTATTAAATATATAGCATCCTTATTGTTTTTGTATACTGGAGCTTACTTTCAAAAACTTTTATTAAAGCAAATAAACCGTGGTACGTCTGGTGGTTAAATATTTCTGTTCATGGCGTAGAATTTGTGACCATGTTGATTGAATTATTTTTAAATCGTCAAATAATGAAAATATCTTTCATATTTATAACGATTTCTATTCAAATACTTTATACGTTTGAAACTTTCCTTATTTATGATACACATAGAGGATTTTGGGTTTATGAATTTTTAGATTGGCATAAAGATTCTCCAGGAATTGTTTCATTGCGTTATATCGGTTTCTTTATTTTCTTTATTGTATGTTATTTTGTGGTGTACGGACTTCATGCTCTTAGAGATTATATTGGAAGAAAACATTCTAAAAAATCATCTGATAATGTTAGTGATCCTCAAATGAGTACAGTAGACAAAGTATAATTATTTACATTTTTAAATTCATTATAATGTAATTTTTTAAAAATACTGTATTATATATATGTATCCATATATTTTTTTAAAGCGTTGACAGACATTTAATAAAAAAAATTTTATTGTTGTACAACCCGGATACCCGGTAAAAAAATTTCATATGTTAAAATTTACACCGTTATACAGGCAAACTTGTTTCCTTTAAATTCTTCACTCACTTTTTGGGCTTCGAAGTCACGTGTAAATCCAGTTATTTAAGCTCGGCATTTTATAACATAGTCTCAAACAGTGTTGGAACTCTGTTTTGAAATTTATGTTCTCATGAGAACATATTTACTTAATTTAATGTTCTCAAATAATTTTTTATATTCTCAAATAAGAAAAAATTTTTTTCTCTCTCTCACACTATAGTTAAGTATTGGATCGCTTTTATCATTATTTTGTCAATCCAAATCTGAAATATACACACTCTGCAGAAAAGCATCTACCTTAAAAATTATGAGCTTTAGTTACTGCTATATTTGCCAGAAATAGAGTGATATATAATATCACAAGTGTATGGTAATCATTACATCAGTATTATATATATATAGTATGACATTCATTTGTATATTTTATTGTTTTAACAAGTTTTGGTCTCAATTAAAGTGAATGACAATCAATTATCATTATAAAAAAGTACATTTTTTTTGTCCTTCGAAATTGAACCAACCAAATATGAATTGTTGCCAACTGTCTTTCAGATAGCCTTCAGAGGCTAACGGCTTATCCGAAGCTAGTTTTAGCTGCATAATGGAGCCAAGCCAATCAAAGAAAATTAGCTGCAGATTTTAATTATTTATAGTTCAGCATCAGCTGCAACTGAATGGCTTTTTAAAGTCATTAAGCCATAGTTATTAAAACCAAAACTTGTGTCATGACTTGAGCCGTGGTAGATAATACCGATACAGCTTGCATTGAATTTTATTACGTAGCTACAGTAATAATCATTTTAGAGCAATATAAATTTAAAGAAAGCTATACAAGCGTTAACAGCTCTAAAAAATCTTTAATAGGCTGAAATTAGTCTACAAAACTCTTCGTCATATAATGGTGGGTTTCACATGACATTTCAATTAAGTATCTTCAGGACTTTTCTTATTTAATCAATTAAATATTATCAATCAATATATTAATTAATTTCTCATTTAGATTTTTATTCATATTGATTTAAGGTTCTCTCAAGCACATAAATCAATAGGTCAGAGCTCAATTTTAATTTATGGAAATTAAGTTTAACAGTAAGTAGATTCATTATTGTAATGAAAAAAAAGTTTGATTGGCTAAAATTTATTATCCACATTTCATGATATGAATCTTTAGCAAAATTACAGTAAGAATCGCCTTAATTAATCGTAGTACTTATGCACGAACTTGGTAGCCAGTTAGTCACATTGAGAACATCCTTAGTCTCTAAGTTTAGCGATTATTTATTGTTTAAGTATTTAATATGAGCAGCTCACTTCTCGTCTTCTTATCCGCATTAGTCCGTATAATTATCATCCGTTAAAAAGATTTTTAAATTATGTAGATTAGTATGACCAAATGTACAGTATGGGTGTGAAATGTCTCTATTTTTAATATCTGTTCAGACATTATATTTATTAGGGTTAGCATTAAAAAATGATAGTGGATTGGTATAATAAATTTTTTAAAGAGCCATTTTACGCTCTATACTATATACATCTATGAAATCTTAAGAAATTTCTTGTTATAGCATCTTATATAAATATAGTTATGCTGTATTTGTATTTAATACTTGAACTCAAAACTATTTATAACTATTCTGTATTGGGGTTGCCCAAAATTTTTAAATTAAGCCTACATTCATCTGGTCCTAGTTTAGCATGAAAATGTCACGCAGCAACTTATTAATAAAAATTGTTTTTTATTACTTTACATATTTACATAGAGAACATATGGGGTGAGTCAGTAGAAATGCACTATATTTTTTCTAAGTAAATTTTTTTAAAACTTTAAGTAAGAATAAATCAACAACAACTTAATCAAATTTTATAAAGTTTTTTTTAAACCAATTCTAAAAATTTGTAAAATTTATTTAAAAAACTTTTACTAAATTTGGCTAAGTTTTTGCTAAGTTATTTTGGTTAAAATTCAAAAAAATTTTATTAAAAAAAATATAGTGCATTTCTACTGACTCACGCCCATATTTTTCAAACCAACTATTCTTAAAAAAAATTTTATAGAGAACATCTTAAATTTTGTAAATATTCTCAAATTAAAAGTGATGTTCTTATAAGAACATGAGAACATAAGATTTCCAACACTGGTTCTAAACTAGGTCTGGCTTAGGTTACTACAATGTTTTTTTTTTGGAATTTAAAGCGATTCTTCTGACTGATCATCACCAATACTATCAGTATTTTGAATCAATACAGAATCAGAAAGTTGATGAGCAAAAAATGGTTTAGAATTATTATTTAATAGAGTTTGTCTTATAGTCAATATTGCTAAAATAAATTGGACCAACTGTGACAAAGGCACAGGAGGGATATTATCATGAGGATTATCTGATCTCATTATTATGAATTAGTAAGAACCTTGTAATACCCAAATATAGGCATAAGTCAAATTATTACATGATGATATCACTGATCTTGTGAGTCTAATGATGAGTACAAGTAAGCTATAAAATCAAAAAGGAAAGTTGTGCTTTTCTTTTGCTGCTTTAGTAGTTACCTAAAACCCTGCTCTGTTCATAGAATTTCTATGAATACTGAAATAATAGGTGATACTATGATCATAGCAGATTCCAGACCAGTTTTTAAATAGTCCCACAGTCCTTATTAGTCCCAGTCTAGACCAATCTTTTGAAGATTCAGATGCAATCTTGGTAATGTAGTTAACAAAAATTGACATATTCACTTAAAATCATACAAATGTCTCACTTATAATTGATTACCAATTTATTGGGTGGTAAAAAAATCTGAAAAGAAAAAAATATAAAGAAAAATAATAGAATCTGTTGTAATATATCTATTATAAACTACTTATTATTAGCAATTTATAATTTTGGACTGACCATTATGACCTACTATATGTAGTTGTATAACATTTATTATATATAATATCATTTCATTTTTGGCAGCTATGTTTTTTTTATGCAGAGATTAACATAAAAAATTTCTATCTGAAATCCAAAAAAGGAAATAATTACTTCTACCATTTTACCAGTATGATTACATGAAATGTGGAAGAATAGTTGCATTTAACTTTTTTGATGTTCACTATGCTGATTTTGAAAAATCCTTTTTTTGGTAGAAATAATGATTTTTGCTTATTCATTTTTAGAAAGTGTTAATAGTTTTACATAACTATGCCATTATATAATTATGATATAATTATTGCTTCATATCATATGTAATATATATGTACGACATATATATATATATATATATATAAATATGACTGTGTAAAAATAATGCATTTGGTTTTGAGATAGTCTATTGACACAGCATTCACATAATTCATATTTCTTATCAGCACATTTCATTGTATCTGAACTAATAACTATTGAAGCACAATAGCTAAAATGATGATATGAATTAATCATTGCAACTTTTTTGCTGTGTTAGTAAACCGTCTCAATGAATTTTTTTTTGAATAATCATCTGTAAATGTGATAGTGCTTATCATATATTATGTATATATTCAAACTGTTAAAAAGCTGTGGTTAAATTATTATTGTGAATTAAGAAACAAGAACTACCAGAATTATATTAATAGTCACATATATGATAATACAGTACTGTAGTATATTGTAATTTTTTTTTTTGCAACACTCATTTTAATAAATTATTAAAATAGCAAGTTTGCAACTGACTTTTTCTATAGTAGTGCATGTTAATTCTAATATAATGTAACTAAAAACTTTATAGTAACCCACAATATATATTAAAATAATGCTTTTATATATTACTGGAATAGCAATAGGGATGACAAATGTTTTAAAACATGTTATAATTGTTTGATTTAAACCAGTTTTTAAATATACTTTAAAATATTATGATATAATTTTTGTTATTGTAAAATTATGATACAATTTTTGTTATTGTAAAATTATGATGCAATTTTTTTCATATGAAAATTTTTTTGAAGTGAATATTGTATTGTGAAACTTGGTTGGTGCAGAAATTAAACAATTAGGCTCTTCTGTTTATGTTTTAAAACATTTTATGTTTTAATTAAACAAATATAAAAAACAGTTTTAAACTGTTTTTTTACTATTCCTAAATAGCAAGTAAGTTTTTATAAGAATATTTACAGTAACTCATGAAAGAATTGTGATAATTCTTATGTAAACTAACTAGATTTTAGCATATTCCATGTGCTAGTATGATGTTGAATAAGTTTTGAAAAAAATTTTTGCAGAAACTCATAATAGAAATCACAATAGTTTGAATACAACTAGCTCAATTGCATATATATTGCCAGATAGTGATTATAAATAGTTATTGTATATGAAGTATGCAATAACTATAGTATTTTATGGGCGATCCTGATTGGCCAGTGATCCCAGCTGGTATAGCTAGATCATTCGAACAATTAGAAAGAGAACATAAAATATGTAAAGTATCTTGTGCTTAAAATCCAGTTGGCTCTTCAAATGTTATAAAAGTATAATCTGCCGCGTAAGCAGCAGATCATACTTTTATAACACTTGAAGAACCAACTAGATTTTAAGCACATGATATGGCAGTTATTGCTTGCATAGCATGCAATAACAGATTTATCCAATGCTTTACGATGATTAGCAAATCTTCTTTAATACAACAAAAAAATTTCAAAAATGAATAAAACTTCACCTGATACAAAAAATTTTAGGACCAAAGCTTAATTTAAGTTTTTTTCTGGTCCAAATTCCAAGATAAATACAATTTAATATTGGAATCAACTATGACAAAGATAGGCACAAAGTTAAAAAAAAAAAGCATATGAATGATATTTAAAAACCAATGAAGGTGAAATTTCGAATGAACAGTTTATTGTTGAATTTTGTTATAACAAAGGTATATAGATAAAAAGGTTTTTACATAGTATCTAAAATTTTCTGAATGCCTCACTCAGTTTATTATAATTTTGAAACCCAAGATTAATAAATGTTTTATTCAGTTATACAATTTTAGAATTCAAGGCACTAATTAAATATTTCACTGGTTGTTTGAATTTTAGAACCCAAAATATTGATTGATTAATGTTTTTTTTTTAGAATTTTAGAACTGATTATTTGAATTCATTAAAATTTTAAAATCCAAGATACTGATAATGTTTTGTTCGATCATTAGAATTTTAGAACCAAAGGTAATAATAATATTTTATTTTAAATTTTGAGTTATAAATTTTTAAAATTTATTTAGTTAACTAATAGCATATGCTAAAAAAAGAAGAATGATTAATTCTAAGTTTTGAACACCTTTGAAAGATAATACAAATTTGAACTTACCACTTCATGTAAATGCAACAAAAAAAAACCTGACAATAGATGGTCAAAGGTCTCTATAGTATGAAAATGGAGGTCACAAGATTTGAAAAATGATACTGGTACTACATAATGATTAATAAATAAATATTGTGTAGTGCAAAAATGTAAATTAGATATAAATGAATAAAATGCAAATGCTATAAAATACAAATATGGTGTAACTATAAATACAGAAAAGCTATAAAATAATCAATTTATTTTATAAGCTAATCATAGTAAAGCATTTGATAATAAATAGTTATTGCATGCCTTACATACAATAACTATTTAATGTCTTATTAATATTTTATTTATAGTTTTAATACAACAAAGTTGTACAACTATCTTATATAATGAATTTTACTTGCATGTGATGATCGTACTGGTCCTGTGTAGTATTATATGCTGCATAGCTATCTTATTTATATAGATACATGATCATGATCATGATTATTTATATAGGGAATTACTTTTTATACCCCTAATTTATTAACCATACCCCTGCAAAATTACCTTTTTTTTTAAAACTTTAAGCGAAGATATCACGACAACTACTAAGCTAATTTTGATAAACTTTTTTTCTTTGCATTCTACAAGTTCGTAGAATTCAAATAAAAAAATTCATTGAATTTGGCACAGTAGTTGTTAAGATATCATTGCTCAAAGTTTGAAAAAAATTACAATGTCTATTAAAACAAACAATACAAATTTTTTTTAAACTTTGAGCAAAGATATCTTTGCAACTACTAGCAAATTTAATGAATTTTTTTATTTAAATTCTATGAAACTGTAGAATGTAAAGAAAAAATCATCAAAATTGGCTTGTGGTTGTCGTGATATCTTCACTCAAAGTTTTAAAAAAAGCCAAAATGTATATCAAAACAAAAGCTGTGCCAAAATTTTCTCAAAGTTTAAGCGAGAATATCTCAACAACCACCAAGCCAATTTCGATAAATTTTTTTATTTGAATTCTATGAATCTGTAGAATACAAATAAAAAAAAATTATCAAAATTGTCTTGGTGATTGTCAAGATATCTTTGCTCAAATATCTTCATGCAAATTTTGAAAAAAAGTTTAACGCAGCTTTTTTTTGATATACGGTTTGAGTTTTTTTAAAAACTTTGAACAAAGATATCTCAACATTCACCAAGCCAATTTTGATGAATTTTTTTTTCTTTGCATTCTACAGATTCGTATAATCTAACTAAAAATAATTCATCGAAATTGGCTTGGTGATTGTCAAGATATCCTCGCTCAAACTTTGAGAAATTTTGGTACAGCTTTTGTTTTGATATATATTTTGGCTTTTTTTAAAGCTTTGAGCAAAGATATCACAACAACCACCAAGCCAATTTCGACAACCTTTTTTTTATTTGCATTCTACAGATTCGTAGAATTCAAATAAAAAAAAATTCATTGAATTTGGCCCAGTGGTTGCAAAGATATCTTCATTCAAAGTTTAAAAAAGTTTGTATTATTTGTTTTGATAGATGTTTTGATTTTTTCAAACTTTGAGCAATGATATCTCAGCAACTACAGGGCCAAATTTGATGAATTTTTTTAATTTGAATTCTACAAACCTGTAGAATGCAAAGAAAAAAAGTTCATCAAAATTGGCTTGGTGGTTGTCATTGCTCAAAGTTTTAAAAAAAGATAAATCTGCAGGAGAGTATGGTTAATAAATTAGGGGGTATAAAAATAATCACCTTTATATATAGCGAAGAAAAAAAAATTTTGTGAACCATATAAGAAACTTATGAATTGTGGTAAAAATGTGTCTTTTAGATATTAATATAGCTAACCTGAATATGTTTAACCTTCTGTTTTTTGACTTTTTTAATTAATTTATTTTTTTTTATCAGATTTTTTAATAGTATGATGAATTGATAATCACTAATTGCCAAAGGCATTGGCGAAAGGCTATAGAGAGAGATTGTGGAAATCAATTTATCACTATTCATGATCGTGAGAAATTATTATTATCATGAGAAAATTTTGCAATATGATTTGAACTTGTAAACTAGATTAGCAGTAGTTTTGCTGCTCGGTTCTTTCTAAAAAAAATAAGATGCCTCTTAGCAATCTATAAAATAATATAACAAATAATGCATATCTGATAAATCAAGTATCTGTAAGATGGTTTAGCTGCAAAAGTGACTCAAAATTTCTTATAGATATTTGATTTATTCACTGATATTATCATTCATTATTAAATATAATTTTACTGATAATAATTACTTTATAGATAACTTAGTTCACAACAATTAATTAAACCAATTATATCGCCAATTGTAAATTCAAAGACAAATTTATTTCATGAATAGTATATTTTTACAACAGCTCATTTCACATACAAAACAATTCTGTTCATAACAAAGAT